AGAGCAAGAAAATAGGTTATCTTAATAAATTACTGTAGAAATAAATTTTTTAGTTATGCAGGTTTAGACAAATTTTTATGAACAGGAAAAAGAGTTTTTTTTTTTTTTTAATTCTTATTTAATATTTGAAATATAGATTATATATATCAATATAAAAGTGCTAACAAAAAAAAAATTTACTATGATACTCAAATATAAGCTCATATAGATTGTTTGGGGTCCTACCTATAATAACACCTCGGGTCTCTTTGAAAGTGTCTTGGAATAAGTACAAAAAATAAAAAGGTTATAAAAACAAAAATTATAAAAACTATGCTATTGAAGTCTGTTTTAACAGTACAAAAAAGAATGAGTTACGTGTTTTATTGATGATCAAAATAGGAATTGTAGGTCATGTGAGTTTTGACACCCCAATGATTTTCTATAATTCACAGAATTTCTTTTATAGCTGTTTTCAAAAAGGTGTGAACGGTTGCAGATACCATGTTTGATTTTACTAATCTAAATTTCCAAATTCTTCGATTTCTACATACCCACAGAACTGCACAGAATTGACAAAAAAATTTATTACATTAAATCACATAATTTGTCTTGACCACATATAGAATTTAGTCTTAACCACCGCAGAAAATCATTGCCCTGCCCTGAATAACCCAAAATTTTTTTAAAAAACAAATAAAATTTACATACTGGGGACGTTTAATATACTGCATAAATTATAACGCTCCTGGCTTTAATGTTCTGGAATGATATCCGATCTAACAATTTTTGTATAACTATATTGCGTAAAGAAATTAATGCTCGAACAAGGATTTTACTGCTAAAGAGTTGGGGGTTTAAATTAAATACAGTAAGAGATACTAAGTTTAGAGATAGCATACGTACGTACGTACTTTTCACAGCATGATGTTTAATCGTCACATATCATATGTAATACGTATTCATTCATATAGGACAAACATTGGGGTGTGCGATGCCATATAATTAACAAACTTATGTAGATAAGAAAACTATCTTCATAGCTTATGACTTTTCCGAAATTCATATAGTAAAATACTTTTTTTTTAATCGCTACTTCTCTTTTATTTTTATTGATAAAGGTATAAAATTTACTTAAAATAAGATATAGTTTTATGCTTCAGAGTTTTTTAGTTTATAAATCATGCAAAAAACTCTTATCATAAATGTTTTTCATTCTATTGCAATTTTAAAAATTTTTATAAAGTAAAAATTTTTCTCTCTGTATTAGTATTTTATATATTGCCTTCAACTAAAATATATTAATTTTTTTTATAAATAACAAAGTCTTTTTGGAACCTTAGTGATTTAAAAAAAAAGGTATTTTACTATATAATTTCGGAAAAGTCATAGGTTATGAAAAAATTTTCCTTATCGTTATTGCGACTTATATATACAGTATGGTTTGTTAATTGCCAAGGGAAAACCTACAAGTCGTACTTTTTGAATATTTACTTTTAATAAAAAAAAAAAAACTTAAAATCAGGCAATTTAATACCTATAATTTTAATATCATTTGAACATCTTAATGAGACGATTCAAATAATATTAAGAACAGTAGGTACTAAATTGCCTGATTTTATTAAAATTTAATAACCAAAAAGTACGGCTTGTATGGCGACACTCATATGGTGTCCACACCCCAATCGAACATCCCAACAATACACATTCCCATCTCAAGTAATAATGATGTACAAATATGGAAGGTAAGTAACAACAATAATTGGACAAATATCTGATATCTGATATATGAGTAACTGGCGTACGTACGGCATGTACGAAATTTCAACATGACATGGAACCATAATTAATTTGTATCGATATTTTTTAAAGTAAAAAAGCTTATTTAAAAAAAATTTAATTATTTTAAGCAATACAAAAAGAAAATCACTTATTTTTATATTCTAAAAGGCAAAAACTAAACTTTTAAAAATATTTGTAAACTAAAAATTATTACAACTGTTTTTCTGTTGACCTACTCTCAAAAATAAAAAGTTCACTTTTAAATTATTTATCATAGCAACAAATAATTAAGACTAAAAACAACTAAACATCAATAATAATGTCACGGCTAATTTATTTTTTTATGTTATTGATTTTTATTTGGTCTGCTTCAACCCGTAAGTCAGCAAAATTTCTTTTTGCTTATTCGAATTTGGTATATTATTATTATAGGGATATTATCCGGCAGTTACTTCGTAAAAATAACATCCTGAAGGGTATAAAATTGATCCAAATTAATTATATCAAGCAATGTTAACATTGTATCTACATTTTTTAGAGGTTGCTCCTCCAGCTGCTCCTGCTCCAGCTACTTCTGCTCCAGCTGCTTCTGGAGTACCAGCACCAGCTGCACCTCCAGCAAAAGCACCTCCAGCAGCACCAGCTGCTTCTGGAGCACCGGTTGTTTCTGGAGTTCCAGCTTCAGCTGGTTCCGAAGTTCCGGCTGCTTCTGGAGCTCCAGCTGCTTCCGGCTCTCTTCTTCCAGTTTCATCCGCGATCTCTCAATCCATTCCTCGTCCAGCTTCTTCATCCGCAGCTCCTTCTAGTACCCCTCCAGCCCAACCAACTTCTTCTCCAGGACAATCATCTTCATCTAATGTTGGAATTTATATTGGTATTGCTATAGGTGGTATTGTAGTTGGCTTAATCTTTGCTTTTGTTGGGAATCGTGTATATAAAAAATATCAAGATTCAAAATTTATTCCAACGCCTAGCAGTGCTGATCTATAATAAACTTTTAAGATTTTTATCTTTGCTTTTTTTTTTAAAAAAAAGTTTTTACTATTGTATTTTGATCATTTATACATCCATAAAAAAATATTGCTATGTACTTTTTTAATATGTAATTTTATTAATGATAAGCTACAACATTCTCAAATATATTACAGTCAGGCTTCCCTAAGTGCAACTCGTCGGAACAAAACTTTTGATACATGTATTTAGAGAACAATAAAAAATTGCAGTTAGAAATATAGTTGTACCAGAGCTTGAGGGAGATTGCGTTTAAAAAGGTCTGACTGTATACTGTTTACCTTATCCGGCATTTATATAAGGTTACGTAATCATTTATACAAACATGCATCAATACTGTATAGTTATCGTTTAACAAGCACTAATTCATTTGAAATTAGAAAAAAACAACTTCTTAAATGAAGTATTAAAAATTTAGTAGTTACTTCATTTACGACTATACCGTATATTATTTTCATGAAAAAAAAGTTTACCAGTGATGAATTGTGACTATTAAAGCTAATTTTAGGTCAAGCCATTTCAGCATTTTAAAAATTGTTTATTTTCTTTAAGACAATTTAAAAAGAATTACCCCTAGAATTCGGGCTATTTACGCTTCGTTCAAGGTGGTGAATCATTGTAGACTGAACATACGCCCACTTCACTACTTTAATGAATAATTCAAAAACCAGTTTTGATTTGTTAATGAATTATTCAAATGTCAGTTTTGATTTTTAATGAACGAATTTTCAATCTATATAATCTTATCTAGCTCACTTGCACATATTAACCTTATACCATCTCGCAGGTTGAACTATATTGGATAATGACTTATATCGCAGTTTTATAATAAATTCCATCCTACAAGACTCAAGACATCGCCGATTTGTTACCCCACCCATATCAGTTTTCTAAAATATTCTAATAACTAATACAGCTCACCCTGTCAAAACCGATCATGTCAAAACTGATAACCGATAAAAAAATTGGTCCACCATGTTCGTTCCGTAATCTAAATCTGATAACCTGCCATTTCCGATAACCGATATTCAAAAAAAATATATCTATTAGTTGCTATATAATCTGGTAAATCCGATATTTTTGATCTAGCCAATTAAATTAATTCTATATAGCAAGATTTGATATTATTTAGCCAATAATATTGAACCACAATCATATGATTAGTAGCAAAATCAATACCGGTTTTGACAGGTAGACTGTATTTTAATTCATTTCTTATTCGCAAGTTGGTTATAAATGTTTTAGGTTATTCTTTTAAAATCTTGTTATTTTAAACAATATTCGCAACAATAAAATAACAGTAATTTATTATCAATAGATTGTATTTTATTTCGCCTATTCTACATACTTTAAAGATATTTCTGCTATTTTATATTATCAACCTTTTTTCGGATTGTACAAAGTTTGATTTGATATATATATATATTTCATTGCGTCTTTTTCAGCATCAACCTTCAACTATAATATTTACAAATAACGTTGTCACAGGATAAAAGTGACTTTTTGAAAATAGCTCTAAAATGATCGGCTGTGAAATATTTGATCATGACATGAAGGGCTTAGATGATTATCCATGGAATATTCTAGTAGCTATGATATAGACGCAAAGTTAAAAATTCCACGGAATTAAGTGCTGGGCTAAGCCGAAGAGAAGGTGGAGAGAATCCCTGTACCTTAAGGAAAATCATAAACCTTTAAGAGTTTGATTGTGAAAGTAAGAATAAATTAAAATTCAGAAAATTCACAAAAATTTTGAGTCAGAAATTGATAAATTTTGTTCAAATTTTACAATAAACCAGTAATCCATATACCAAGTAAAATCACCCAGATGATAAATTTGTTATAATATTGTTGGCTAGTATTATTGTTTAATACCGGCTTAGTTCTGTCTCTAAACTTGGCCGATCTGCTGAATTTTAGTCACGAGACCAATCTATTCTGAAAGAAAGAAACCATTTCCATCTGTACTGAGTGTAAAGGTTATAAAAGAGGTATGGGTCACTTTGTAAAGCATTGACATAATAAATAACTAGTAAATCATCATAGTCACATGTCATTTCTTCGTTCTTATTATATCATATAGATTCAAAACCCTTCAATTCACTTCATAACAATGAATATTGATTTAATTAGCCTTTCAAATTGGCCTTAATTAATAAAATGAAATTTTGATTTAATATTAAAAATAAAGATATTACATGTTTCATCTGTCACCATCAACTAAAAAAAGCTAGCTGTAGTTGCAAATAACAGGAGGAAATGTCCAAATATAGATATGATTTTCATTCTCCGTTACACAGATCACGCATTGTATCGACCAGTCAAATATCACTACGGGATTAGTCAACCAATCAAATTGCGAAATTTACAAAAAGACGAAACC